GTTGGAGCCACATTGGAAAATAGTACGGTGTGTCCTTAAAAAAATTGAAAATAGAATTATCATGTAATCCTGCAATTTCACCTCTAAGTATATACTTGAAAGAATTGAAAGCAGAATCTGAAAAAATTATTTGTATACCAATGTTTGCAGCAGCATTATTCACAATAGCCAAAAGGTGGAAACAACTCAAGTGCCTGCCAATAGATGAATGAATAAACAAAATGTGTTACATACACACAACAGATTCTTCAGCCTTTAAAAAGAAGGAAATTCTAAGACAGGCTACAATGTGAGTGAATATCCAGGATATTCTGTTAAGTGAAATAAGCCAGTAACAAAAGGACAGATAATGTTGATTCCACTTAAATGAGATATCTAGAGTGGTTAAATTTATAGAGACAGAAAGTGGAATGGTTTCCAGGAGACGAAGGGGAGGGAGGAGTCGAGGGAGGAGTGGGGAGTTTTTGTCTAATGGATACAGAATTTGAGTTTTGAAAGAGGAAAAGAACTGTGGAGATGGATAGTGGTGATACACATGCTGCTGAACTCTACACTTAAAAATGGTTAAAATACAAACTTTATGTTATAAATATTTACCACAATTTTTTTCACTTGAAAAAAGTCTTCAAATAAATGAAGGCAACCAACATGGCCTCACAGAGGAATCTCACAGCCCTCTCCTTCCACTGTTCACCCTATTACATAAAGTCCAGTCATCCTCAGGTCACTTTCCTCTGAATATCCTTCAGCTACCTACCTATAACCCATTTAGTCCATGGGCCATAAACCTCGGCATGAAAATGACCAGTTAGTTAAGAGAGGAAAGCCAAGACTTCCCTGGTGGTCCAGTGGTTAAGACTCTGCGCTCCCAAAGCAGGGGGCCCGGGTTTGATCCCTAGTCCAAGAACTAGGTCTCACATGCCACAGAAAAGGTCCTGCATGCAGCAACGAAGATTACGAGTGCTACAAGTAAGACACAGCACAATGAAAAACAGGAAAAAACCTATTATCACCTAAACTTTAGTTACTAGACTTTTATTACTACAGCCAGAGACCTACTAGTTGTTAATTCCCATGGCGTTAACTTCCTAAATAAAGTCTATGTGCTTTTCTAATGTGCCACCACTAAAAACCTTTTGTCAGTTAAAACTCTTTCAGTGATTAAGAAGAAAAACAAATACATGAAATCTGTGCAAAAAACTTAAACAAAAACAAGAAATGCATTGGTTCATGTAAATGTTCCCAAAATGGTGCTGGCTTAAGGTATGGCTTGATTCAGGATTTAAACGATGTCACCAGATCTCAATTGTTTTCTTCTCTTAGCCCAGCTCTGTTCTTCTTCTCCTGTCTTCATTCTTAGGCCCTCTGCCTATGAGATGTCCCCCATAACTCGTGGTTTCAGGGGTGGTAGAACAAAACTAGCTCCCAGCAATCCCAAAATATCCAAACTGTCACGGGCTTTCATGGGCTCTGATTGGGGTCCATCCCTGAACCAATCTCTGTGGCCAGGATAGTGCTGGTGTTGATTGGCTTAGTTCTAGTCACACGTGCCAGCCCTGAGCAGGAACTAGTCAACTCCATGGGCTGAAAGAGGAGAGGAGATAGTCCATAGAGAATAATAAAGTTAAGGTCACCAGCAGGGTAAGGGGATGTTAAAGAACAAAAACTAGAAGTTCGGGCTTCCCTTGCAGTCCGCTGGTTAAGAATCCCCCTTGGAATACAGGAAACACGGATTTGTTCCCTTGTCTGGGAAGATACCACGTGCTTTGGGACAACTGGGCCCATGTGCCACAACTACCGAACCTGCACTCTAGAACCCACAGCTGCAAATGCTGAGCCGCCACGCAGCAACTAACTGAAACCTGCACGACTAGAGCCCGTGCTCTGCAACAAGAGCACCCACTGCAATGAGGAGCCCGCGCACCGCAGCTAGAGAGTAGCCCCTGCTCTCTGCAACTAGAGAAAGCCCTCACACAGCAGTGAAGACCCAGAGCAGCCAAAAATAAACAAATAAATAAATATTTTTAAAAGAAAACAAAACTACAGGCTCACAATGAAAGTGAAAGTATTAGTCACTCAATAGAGTCAGACTCTTTGCAGCCCCATGGACTGTAGCCTACCAGGCTCCTCCATCCTTGGGATTTTCCAGGCAAGAATACTGAAGCAGGTTGCCATTTCCTCCTCCAGGGGATCTTCCCGACCCAGGGATCAAATCTGGGTCTCCCAAATTGCAGGCAGATTCTTTACCGTCTGAGCCACCAAACAGGTTCAACCACCATTCAGTTAGTTCAACCGAATATTTTATGGACTGAAAGATATTACCTTTAGCTTATCTCTATTAAATTCAATGTTGTTAGAATCCTCTGGTAAATTATTTGGAATTTTATTCTATCAGGCAATGCATTCCTTGTTTCTCTCAGCTGTGTGTTATGTAACAGTGTGATGAATGTGCCTTACAGATTTTATTGCACTCAGTGATGAGTACACATTTATGTATCACATTTATACATGTGATATAAACAGGTTATGAACACCATGTACCTCAGCCCACCATCATGACCTTCCTTTTGAAGTGACATCTCCAGCATCTTCAGTATCAAGTCATACAACCTGACACCAGGCCCATCTTTATGCTTAAGTCTTGGCCCTGTTTCTTGTGTCCAGAGATATTATGAATGATTCTCACACGATGTCTGTGCTCCTGGGAGGGCTTCTAGTAGAGAGTGAATGTTGTATGCATTCTATGCATCCTTCATCTAGCCATCATCAGAAAGACCTTTTTCTTTACATCCCCTAGATTCCAAATATTCTTGAAACATGCACACTCTCAAGAAAAAGTGGTAACAGTAGTGGTAGCCGAGTATATACAGCATTTACAACACACTATGCCCTGTTCTAAGAGCATATAGGGTTAAATATTAACTCATTTATTCTTCACAGCAACCTTATGAGGTACATGGTTATTATCATCATCATCTCCATCTTGAAGACAAGGAAACTAAGACCCAGAGAGTGTAACTGGCCCAAATTTACACAGCTGGTTAGTACCAACCAGAAATTGAACCCCACTCTTGCAGCTCCAGAGTCCTTACACTTACACAGAAGTGGCACTTGCCTTCACATCTGTCACCACTCACTCCCAGGCTTCAGTCAAATGCACATGTGAGTTAGCTTTGAAAGCAGCTTCTACAGTAACAAACCTACCATGGTTAGATTAGGGAACAGCTACTCACTTCACAAGGCAGTTTGTTGTCGCAAGTGAATCATTTTCAGTGACAAGTTTCTCCTGGAACAGGTCAGCTGGTTATAAAGTCATTAGTGACTTCCCAGAACTAATGGGACAAGGAAACTGAGCCAAAGGGTTAGGACCACTGCCAACTAAAGATCCATTAGAACTGTAAAGTGTCTCTAGCATAACGTCCACATTAGTAGAAAAACACAACTTTTCTTATACACGAATATTTTCCCTGAACCATGGCCACATGTGGGAGATATTAAGTAGGGGGCCTCGGCACAGCACTTCACAAGAGGTGTCCTCATAAACAAAATTTCTCTTCCAGCCCTTCCATTGCTCCCCTGGGGTCCCTTGACCCACAGTTCTCTTGTCACTTTCGGCGATACTATTAGTTGGTTCAAACATGCAAAAAGGTATAATCCAAGTGGCTAGGAAGCTTCCCAGGTGGCACTAGTGGTAAAGAACCTGCCTGCTAGCTCAGGGGATGCAAGAGAAGAGGTTCAGTCCCTGAATCAAGAAGATCCTTTGGAGGATGAAGTGACAACCTACTCCAGTATTCTTGCCTGGAAAATTCCCTGGACAGGGGAGCCTGACGGGCTACAGTCCATGGGACCACAAAGAATGGGACACAACTAAGCAACTGAACACACATCAATTTCAAAGGAGTTGCATATAGCTCTGTTTCTATTAATTAAAAATTTTTTATTGGAATACAGTTGCTTTACAATGTTGTGTAAGTTTCACAGCAAAGTGAATCAGCTATATGTATACATATATCCCCTCTTTTTTGGATTCCCTACCCATTTAGGTCTCCACAGAGCATTGAGCACAGTTCCCTGTGCTATACAGTAGGTTCTCATTAGTTATCCATTTTATGCATAGCATCAATAGTGTATGCATGTGAATCTCAATCTCCCCATGCATCCTCCACCCCCTTTCCCCACTGGTGTCTGGACATTTGTTCCCTATGTTTGTGTCATATAGCTCTGTTTCTTTTGAATTCACCATGTCATGAAACCCCATATGGTTCAAATGAAGGGCTTTTGTGAAGGGACCGCATGCAGAGATGAGGCAGGATTGAAAGGACAATATTTGTTACCACAGGGAGCCCAGTGAGGTCTGGTTCTGGGGAAAGGACCCTCCTGCTGAAAGAGAAGCAGCTGCTACTAGACTCTGTACTAGAGGAAGGAAGGAAATGCCCCGTCTCTTTCTCCTCCTCTTCTCCTCACCACTCTTTTGCCATTGCCGCCCATGGACACCGAGGGCCAGGAGGCCTGGTGATGTGGTCAGTAACGTTAGCCCTCAGGATTCCGAGCAAGAGGAAAGGGTAGAGAGCCCATGTAAAGGGCAGAGAATAAGGAGCACATTATCTCCTTCAAAGGTGGGTAAACTGAGTCACTGAAAGGGAAAGTAACATATTTCAGATCAAAAAGGGAGACCCAGAACCAAGATAAACGCTGCACTTTCCCATCTGTTCTCACTGGTTTCAAATAGTCTGAATGCTTGGATAGAATCATTAAATCTCAGAGGACATCTACTCCCTCAAACTCCTTCCCAATATATGATGACGTTACAAGGCAGCCCACCGGGGCCCACCTTTCTTCAGAAGTAGTGAAGTTGTGTGTGATCAGTATGACTCAGCCTTCTGCCTAGATTCACCAGAGAGATTTTCATGAATCACTTGTGTGGGTGACCCTCCGGGTGTTGTTACTCTTTCAGTGAATTCTCTCCACACACTAAGTTTGTCTCTGTTTGATTCATGAAGGTGATTCATCTGAAGAAGTTGACCTGACCATGGTTTATCAGGCAGCATCTAACGGAGATGTCAGTGCTCTGACTGCTGTGATTCGGGAAGACCCTTCCATCCTAGAATGCTGTGACAGTGAAGGTGAGCTATTTATGCATTTTGGATCCTGCAGAATGTCCTGATCTGTCCTTTCAGAAATGGCCTCCAGAGGTGAGCAATGTTAATAAAATAATATTTGAAAGACTACTTTGATACTGAAGGGTCAAGGAATATTATTTAATGAGAGTCATGGACACAAATCTTCAAACTCTTTTATATCACCTCTTCTCATAAAGCTGTTCAGTTTGGGTTTGTTTTCAACTTCTTTGTATGAGTGACAAAAGTAGATAGGCAAAGTGATGACCTTAGAAGAAGTGTATGAAAAGAAGAGGCTATTTTTGGCAGCAGTGGATGTTAGGGAAAGTGTGATTATTAAAGTCAGAGAGCAGGGACTTCTGCTTCTGGGAAGATGGGGCAGAAGTAGGACCTTTTTTTTTTTTAAATTCCTTCTGCTAAATACAACTAAAAATCCTGAATATTGTATATAGCATAAACATAAGAACACTCTGGAGGGTAGAGAGAAAATGACAGACTAGCTAGGACCTTGAGACCCAAGGAATGACATAGTGGTGAGTTTCCTGGGCTTCCTTTTTGCTCCGAATTTCCCAGACTTAGAACTGAAGAAGCTGACAATGTAGAAATGTCAATGGACAGAGAACAAAAAAGCCCCCAACAAAAGCCTGCTCTCTAGTCAAAGAACCAAGAAAGTGGTCACATAGCAAGACAATAAAATCTTTTAGACAATAATGAGTCTACTCCACCAAACAATCCCACCAAAACAACAACAACAACAAACCCCAACCCCAACCCCATTCATTCTAGCAAAGACCAAGCTGGGAGCCTGCACCTCCACCTTCACCTGGTAACGAAGTCCCCACATTGCCACCACTGAGGCAGTGTGAGGGGATTCCTTCTTCAGTTAGGACTCTCACCACCACCCAGTAATGAAGAGTCTTCTCCCTTAGATGTCAATGAAGGCTAAGGAAGGGACATAGACTTCTAATCTTACCTGGCAGTACTGAGGTGGTGTCCCCCCTTCATTTCCCCTTTGGAGCAGTATTAGAAAAAAAAAACAGCTAAAATAGAGGATTTAAGCAAGACTTAGGCAACTCATAATGCAATACTCCAAATGTCCAAGTTTCAAAGAAAATCACTTGACATACCAAGTATCAATAAGACCTCAAACTGAATGAAAAAAAAAAAAAACAATCAATAGATGCCAACAGTGAGATGAGAGATGTTAGAATTACCTAGCAAAGATTTTCAAGTAACCATGGAAAAATGCTTCAGTGAGCAATTACAAGTATGCTTCAAACAAACAAAAAGTAGAAAGGCTCAGCAAAGAAATAACAGATATAAAGAAGAATCAAATGGAAAATTTTTAAACTGAAAAATACAATAATTTCAATTAAAAACTCAATGACTAAGCTCAGCAGCAGAATGAGGAAGCAGAGTAAAGATCAATGAAACTGAAAAGAGAACAATAGCAATGAGACAATCTGAACAACTGAAAGAAAAAAAGGGTTAAAAAATGAAAATGAAGACTAAGAAAAAGAAGAAAGAGGAAGAGAAGAAAAACAAAAAGGAGGAGGAGGAGGAGAGGAGGGGGTGGCAGCCTCAAGGACTTATGGAACTATAACAAAGAATTTATCATTGGTTTCTCTATCCTAGTAGTTCTGGGAAGTAATTAATCATTTTTAACCTGTTGACTTGTCGTAAGAGGAGCTTGGAATTCCCTTGTCATGACAATAAAATGTTTTGTAAAGTGTGTGGTTGCTCCCTAATTTATCCATGGTAGTTTTTTCATTCATTTGTTTTTTAAAGAAGAATTACTTGTACATCTGCTTTGGCGTTAGAAGTTTGAAATGAGAGAAAATAGAGAAAATCAATGAACCAAGAAACTAATTCTTTGAAAAGGTCAATAAAGCTTATAAACCTCTACCAATAAGGACAAAAAAGAAAATGAAAGAGATCTAAGTTATGACTATCAGCAATGACCCTGCAGACATTTAAAGGATAATAGAAAATATAGCAAACAGCTCTACACACATAATTTGACTATTTAGATGAAATGGAGCAATTCCTCAAAAAAGATAAATGACCACAGTTCACCCAATAGGACATTATTTGAATAGTTCTATAACTATAAAGGAACTCAAATTGTTAATTTTAAAATTCCCAGAAAAAGACATCATCAGGCCTAGATGATTTCACTGGGGACTTCGAGAAACTTTTAAATAAAATTAATACCAACTCTACATAATCTCTTCCAGAAGAGGAGGAAACTTTTCTGAGTTATGATTATGAAACTGATATTACCCTCATATCAACATATGACCAAGATGATATAAAAAATAAACCTATAGACCAATACTCCACATGAATACAGATATAGACAGACATCCTTAGCAAAATATCAGCAAATAGGGACTTCTCTGATAGTCTAGTAGTTCAGACTCAACACTTCCAATGCAGGGGGCACAAGTTCAATCCCTGATTGGGAAACTAAGATTCTACATGCCGTGAGGTGCCGCCAAAAAATAAACAGTAAATAAAAAATTTTAAAAACCAGCAAACAGAATTCAGTAATATATAAAAAAGAATTATATATCCTGACCAAATGTGGCTTGTTCTAGGAATGGAAGTCCATTTCAACACTTGAAAATCGAGGCTTTCCTGGTGGCTCAGTAGTAAGGAATCTGCCTGACAGTGCAGGAGACATGGGTTTGATCCCTGGTCTAAGAAGATCCCACATGCTGTGGAACAACTAACCCATGCACCACAACTATTGACTTTGTGCTCTTGAGCAGCAACAAGAGAAGCCACTGCAATGAGAAGGCAGTGCACTCCACCTAGAGAAGAGCCACCTCTTGCCACAAGTGGCGAAAAGCCCACACAGCAATGAAGACCCAGCACAGTCAAAAATAAATAAACCTTTAAAAAAGAAACTTGAAAAATTAAGCAATGTATCATTTTAACCAGCTAAGAAGAAAACCCACATGAGCATATCAATTGATACAGAAAAAGCATTTGACAAAATTTACCACACACTTATTATTAAAAACTCTCAGGAAGATAGGAGAGGAGGGGATCTTCCTCAATTTGATAGATAGTATCTACAAAAAACCCTAGCACTAACATTTTACTTACTGGTGAAAGACTGAATGCTTTGCCCCTGAGATGGGCAACAAAGCAAAAAAGTTCATTCTTTCTCATATTCAACATAGTCCTGGGAGTTCTAGCCAGTGCAAAAAAGCAAGAAAAGAAATAAAAAGCATACATATTGAAAAAGAAAACTGTTCCTTTTTTTGCACAACTTGATTGTCTACATAGAAAAATTCTAAAAAAAAAACTATCAAAAACTCCAACTAATGAGTTGAGCAAGGTCCCAGAATACAAGATCAATATACAAAACCAAATTTATTTCTATTGATATATACTAGAAATGAACACATGGACATCAATATTAAAACCACAATACCAAGTAAAATCACTCAGTAAAAACTATTTAGGTGTGAATAAAACAAAATACATTCAAGACTTACATACTCTAAACCATAAAATGCTAATGAAAGAAATCAAAGATCTAAAATAAATGGAGAGATCATGTTCATGGATTAGAAGATTCAATATAGTAAACATGAAATGCTCCCCAAATTCATATACAAGTTTAATGCAATTTCTATCAAACTCAAGTAAGATATATTTTGTGGATATAGACAAGATTATCTAAAATTTATATAGAAAGCAAAGAAACTAGGAGAGTTAAAGCAATTTTGAAAAAGAAGAATGAAGTAGGGGAGAATTCAGTTCAGTTGCTCAGTTGTGTCCCCATGGACTGCAGCGACCCCATGGACTGCAGAACGCCAGGCTTCCCTGTCTATCACCAACTCCTGGAGCTTACTCAGATTCATGTCCGTTGAGTCAATGATGCCATCCAAACATCTCATCTTCTGTCATCCCCTTCTCCTCCTGCCCTCAACCCAGCATCAGAGTCTTCTCAAATGAGTCAGTTCTTCCCATCAGTGGCCAAAGTACTGGAGTTTTAGCTTCAACATTAGTCCTTCCAATGAACACCCAGGACTGATCTCCTTGAGGATGAACTGGTTGGATCTCCTTGCAGTCCAAGGGACTCTCAAGAGTCTTCTCCAACACCACAGTTCAAAGGCATCAATTCTTCGGTGCTCAGCTTTCTTTATAGTCCAGCTCTCACATCCTACATGACTAATGGAAAAACCATGTCTTTGACTAGATGGAACTTTGTTGGAGAAGTAATGTCTCTGCTTTTCAATATGCTGTCCAGGTTGGTCATAATCTCTCACATCCATACATGACCACTGGAAAAACCATAGCCTTGACCAGACAGACCTTTGTTGGCAAAGTAATGCCTCTGCTTTTTAATATGCTCTCTAGGTTGGTCATACCTTTCCTTCCAAGGAGTAAACGTCTTTTAGTTTCATGGCTGCAATCACCATCTGCAGTGATTTTAGAGCCCCCCAAAATAAAATCTGACACTGTTTCCACTGTTTCCCCATCTATTTCCCAGCTAATAACCTCCAATAAGTGTGTGCTGTACCTATCTGCCTAGTCAGCATTGCTTTCTAAAGATACTTCCAGATTCTGCGTTGTTCAAACCAACTTGGGCTTAACCCTGCCTGTTATGTCCCAAATTATACTGATTCCCAAGGCGGTAATAAACAAACTTTATCATCTGCACAAAATGTTTTAATCAAGCAATTACAGCAAGATTACAAAAGATTTAATAGGGTCTAAAAATGGATAATTTATATTGGGCTGGCTAAAAAGTTCCTTCAGTTTTTAAGTAAAAACTCTTATGTATTTTCTGCTGACTAATTCCAGACACTTTTCATCTAGTGCTGTTTTCAGTTGGTCTATTTGAGAGCAATAGAAAGTGAAGGTGAAGTCACTCAGTCGTGTCCGACTCTTTGCAACCCCGTGGACTGTAGCCTATCAAGCTCCTCAGTCTATGGAATTTTCCAGGCAAGAGTACTGGAGTGGGTTGCCATTTCCTTCTCCAGGGGATCTTCCCGACCCAGGGATCAGACCCAGATCTCCTGCATTTCAGGCAGATGCTTTACCATCTGAGCCACCAGGAAAGCTCTGGGAGCAATTGTTGGAATTAATTGTTTGGTTTTCCAGGAGCTCATTAATAGAAGGCGTCCTTCCTATCCCACCATATACATGTCACCTTCTTTGGATGAAGACTGGCCTGTGGTGTGGTTGGTGGTAGTTAATTTCACTTGCCCCACAATCTTTTATGTTCCCACATTATTGTACAGAATCCACTTGTCATTACCCATCACAATTTGTTTCAAAAACAAAATGTTTTAGTTACATTTAAGTAGTGAATCACATGCAGAAATATGGTCAAAGTGTTTTTTTTGCTTAACTTATGTGGAATCCAAACATCAAGGTGATTAACATAACCAAGCAGGTACAAATGGTTTTCCATACTTGATTTGGATATTTTGATATATCAGCTACCTTCTGTGTGGTATAATCTTGATCGTTCTCGGTTATGTCTTGATTTGATCATTATCAGCTTCAACTGGTCTACCCAATTGTGGAACATTGTCCAGCAAGAAATCTCCAGCATGAAACTTCACAAAACACTTTTGACATGTTTAATCAGTCACAGCACCTTTCCCATACACTGCACAAATCTTTTTTTGAGTTTCAGTTGTGCTTTTATCTTTCTTGAAATAATAAAGCATGATATGCCAAAAATGTTGCTTTCTCCTTCCATCCAATATTAAAATAGCTACAAAAATTCACCAATTTTGATAATTTTTTTAAATGCATGCTGATGTGACAGCTATCACAGTACAACCAAACAAAATTGTTTAGAATGAAGTTAGAGACAAGTAAGCACTATGAGAGACAGCTTATGAAAAAAAAACAAAAACACTTTTGGCCAACCTAATATAAATGCAGCAACAATCATCATCTCTCTTCAGCTCAACAGCTGAATTTGTGTTGAGGGTAGTTCATCTGCAAAGAGCATAATAAATGAACAGGTAAATAAAGTCGACTCATAAATTTCACAAGTCAAACATTTTTAAAAGCTGTTGAAATGTCTCATTTCAGGATGCACACCCTTAATGCATGCGGTTTCTGGACGTCAAGTGGACACAGTGAAGCTGCTGTTGAAGATGGGAGCCAATATTAACACGCAGGACGCTTATGGCCGCACGAGTCTCTGTCTGGCAACCTATCTGGTACCAACTGTATCTGTGGCGAGTGTGAAGGAGTAGGGTGGACTAGATGTGTTGTTATGGGGCCCCCACTTGCAGAAGAGTGATCTTCGATTTGTGCAGCTGGTCAATAGAAATAGAAGTTCAGAAATATTGCCTTAATCATCTCCGACATTTATGTAATCACTTAGAATTGGTAGCATGGATTTAAGTCATTTTGGATCTTCCTAATAAGTCTCTAGGAGCTTCCCTGGTGGCTCAGTGGTAAAAAAAATCTGCCTGCCAGTGCAGGAGATGCAGGTTCGATCCATAGGTAGGAAAGATCCCCTGGAGAAGCAAATGGCAACCCACTCCAGTATTCTTGCCTAAAGAATCCCATGGACAGAGGAGCCTGGCGGGTCCATGCGGCTGCAAAAGAGTCGGGCGTGACTAAGCTGCTAAGCAACAACAAACAACAAGCAAACAGAAATCACTGAAATCAAGCTACATTTCCTCTAAAATTCAAAATTTCACATTTCTTGGGCTAAATAGCCATTTAAGGGGCAGGGAGGAAGTTCTCTAGATGATGGTGAGCAGTGAGCTTAGCGAGGTGCCAGCGTTGCATACAACTCTTTCTGGGAACGCATTCTAAGGGGTTGCATAGGAAAGTATGCCTGAATGACAGCAAAGCATTACCCTCTACTGTTGACACCACCTCTGTTTGGAAGCCCAAGGTAGGGCCCCTCACTGGCTCTTCTGAGGTTCCCTGGGAGGTGAGAATAGGTAGTGTCTTAGCCATTACACTCTGAAGCCCATCACTTTCTCTGGCAATGTTTGAATTAAAGTATTAAAGAGAAACTTGACAAAGAGAACATTCAGAAATTTTCTCAGTCACAGGTTCAAACTCAATATACAGATAAACTTACCATAGAGGTGTAGTCCTAGGCAAATTTCTTCACCTCTTTACGCCTGCTTCCTCATTTGTAAAATGTAGTAAAAATAATACCCTAAGTTGGGCACAACTGAAGGAGAACCACATGCAGTCACCCAGCACATAGTAGTACAAAACATAGTTTTTTGGTTCTAAACAATGACTGTGAGATTCAGATGTAGTCCATAGTTTTCTGATTTCTTTTCTGAGGAAGAAAAAAAGAAAACCACATACATAGTTCCATGAAATGTTGCAAAATGATAAAAATGTTTCAAACCCTCCTCCATCAGAAGATTTGTTTTTCAAGAGCTATAAAACTTTGGCAACTCTACAATTTGGCAACTCTGAAATTTGTCCAGTATGCTTTTCTTTTGGTCTCCTGCTCATATTTTTCCTTTTAATCAGAGAACTTTTAATTTAAGCATCAGGAATTAAAACCAGATTTAATACCTTAGTAAACTATGACTCAAGACTGAAAACTGTTTGCGTCTACTTAACACTCAGATATTATTGGTCAGCTCTACAAAGTCATACTTAATCTTAGAACCTATGAATTTTACTGTGCTTTTGTTGAAAGTTTTTTTCCCTAGACTTTTCAGAAGTGAAAGTTCTTATCATTATCTTTCTTTCTCTTCCACACATTTAAGTAACATTTTTATTACTACCAGTACTACAAGGGAAAATATTCAGTAATCTTTCTCTTGTTACTGGGTAATCTTGACTCTTAACTATACAGGATAGAATAAAGCAGAGGAAAAAATAGAGTTTTATTATATTATTATTCATAATCATAACTGCATTTACTTATAAGTTTATTTATAATTAGGTGGGAAACCCAAGTGATTCTGGATGAATGTTGGAGGTATTCTCCTTGGCATGTGAGCCAAGCTCAGTTTTCAGCAGAGTTGGGTCAGTTACTTAAAGTATTAATGAACAGAAAGGAAGGACTAGCCTGCAATTATATTTTCCCTTTGAAATCAGAAAGACAGTGGAGAAATGACCCAGTTTTAAGTGCTAACCAAGGAGGAGTCAAGCTTCAGACATGGCAATATCAGGTCTCAATCTGGTGAATTTGTAGGCAACAGAGAGTTCACAGGAAGGGTCTTGGGGAATTCAGAGGTGGATAAACAACAATTGGGAAGACATAAGAGGGTGCTGGTGATAGATCCATATTCAGCAGCAGAAAGGGCAGTCAGTGGCTGGCAGGGTCCCAGCCATTGGAGTAGAGTTCAGTTTAGAATTCTAGGGATCAGAAAAGAGACTGATGAGAGTCACGAAGATGTTATCTTTGGGGTTGCTAGAAAGAGAACTTGGAAAAGGGGATGAAGGGCCATATTTCAGATATAGGTGAACTAAGGCATACAGTGGAGTTTGGGACCTAAGGACTTAGGGACTTCCGTGGCGGTCCAGTGGTTAAGAATCCTCCTTCCAAATCAGGGGACACAGATTCAATCCCTGGTGTGGGAAGATTCCACTTGCTGATGGGCAACTAAGCTCATGTTGAGTCCAAGCCTGCTGCTGAGTCCAAGCTCCACAGCTGAAGCCCTCCAACTCTGAACCCCATGCTCCACAGCAAGAGAAGCCTGCACGCTGGAACTAGAGAGTAGCCGCCACTTGCTGCAACTAGAGAAGCCCTTGTGCATCAAGAGACCCAGTGAAGCCAAAAATAAATAAATTAAATAAAATGATGACATAGGAGCCCAGCTTTGAAATTGGGCCATGGCATCCAGTTTTGGAATTAGCGTGATTTGGAGTTAAGCCCATAAGGGTCTAGAGTTGACTAATCATCCTCATCACTTGCCACCTTTGGCTCTGGAAACTGAGTATAAAAGGGGAATGAATCTCAGCGAGTGGCCCTAGAATTGGGAAGACAGAGGCAGAAGACTAGGATCTGTCTGCCCCTGACAGGAAAAGGTCCTCCAGAAAACTCAAGAATCCTCATCTCAAGACCTTCAGTCCTCTGCTGTCTGAATGGGAGGCATGGGCCTTAACCAACCACCTCAGGTCAAGTAGAATATGTTTTAAGCCAAACCAAAAGAAGAGAGGGAAAGAAAACTGGAGAAAGTTTGTTGGACTCTGGTACTATGTCATGCGGGATTGTGTTATATAACATTGCTTTTGCTCTTCCAGGGATGGCTGGAAGGCTGTGTGAGTCTACTCAGAAATGGTGCCAAGCACAATATCCCAGATAAAAACGGCCGTCTGCCACTGCACGCTGCCACCGCTGAGCCCGATGTGAGGTACGTCTCTAGCCAGGTTCACGCGACACTCAAATTGGGATGCACCCAAGTTGGATTAGAAGCTCACCTAATCCAACCCTTGTAGCAAATAAAAACAAATTTTATCCATTTCTTTGGTATTCACAGCACACAGGACCACATCTCAGTGAATCTAAATACCCTGCAATTATCTCAACTCTAATATCACTCTCAAATTGACTTCGATAAAATCCTTTTCTCCTAGCCTCTGATTTAATAAGAAATGCTTTGTGTCACCATCTGAATTTGTATATTCTTTCACTCAGTCAGTCAGTGATTAATTCAATAACTATTTATTGCATGCTTAGAATGCTTATTATGGACCAAGCATTGCTCTAGGCCCTAGATTTCCACATGAGCAAGACAGTGGCTCTGACTTCACAGATATTACTTTCTNCACATGAGCAAGACAGTGGCTCTGACTTCACAGATCTTACTTTCTAGTGAAGGAGTTAAGTGGCACACTAGCAAACAAATAAATAGTGTAATTTCAAGTAGTGATGAGGGTATGACAGAAACCAAACAAGGTAAGAGAGCATTACTGTCTGAACCCAGAGTCATGCCAACATTTAAGGGCGGTGTCGGCTACAAACTGGAACATGTCACTGGCACTTGCCGTCTATCTCTGGGTATTTCCCAACTGGCACTAGTGATAAAGAATCCACCCGCCAATATAGGAGATGCAAAAGATGAGGGTTTGATCCCTGGGTCAGGAAGATCCCCTGGAGTAGGAAATGGCACCTTGCTTCAGTATTCTTGCTGGAAAATTCCATGGACAGAGGAACCTGGTGGGCTACAGTCCATGGGGTCACAAAGAGTTGGACATGACTGAGCAACTCAGCACACATCTACCTCTATAAAGGTTAAATCATGTGCTGCTACAGCTGCTGATTTTAAAACCCCACCCCCACCCCTCTCACACCCACCCCTCACCTCCCCACAACCAGGAAAGGAGTTCAGGAGTTCAGAGCAGAAATGAGACATGTTGTGCCCAGGGGTAAACTGGCAGAACAGGTCTTCAGATGGTTAGATATTTTCAGGAGCCAATGTTACGAGCCCAGTTCTTATATCTCCTCATATCTAGAAAAGCACTAAAATCCTCCATGGTGATGACTGCTCCTTGTGACTAGCAAAAGCTTCATGAGACTGGAAGAAACCTGGAAAAATGAGCACTTGATTGCATATATTCCCCCTTCCCCCAAATCTCATATATACGCTGACCTTCCCCCCTTCTTTTTTGGAGTAGTTTCTCAGAGCTGCTTGAGTTCTCCCAGCTGCAGTCCTCATTTTGCCCCCAAATAAAACTTAATTCACAACTCTCATGTTGTGCATTTTTTGTAAGTCAACAGCAGGAAGAAGGCAAAGACCCAGCAAAGGAGACTGAAAGGGCATGGGGTAAACAGTGGGTTAGCAGGAAAAGCAGGAGTGTGTGATGCTGGAGGCCATGCAAAGAAAGTCCTCAAATAGTTGGATGATTGAGAAGGTCACTTTCTTGTAAGATGATTGTGCAACAAAGGAAAAAGTTTTGCCCAGACAGTCCTCTGTACTAAGTGGCCTGGATCCCCAATCTTTCAAAAGCCCCTCCTAGCAGCTTGATAAGAGTTTCCCAGTATGGAATCAGCAACACTCCAGGCACTTCCTGAACCTTTGCTGACAGAGCAGACCTCTGACAGGAATTTGACGTCCCAGAGCTAGGCAGCAGGCCAGAACCTCAGGGGCTGCCTTTTGCTGCCTCCTCCTCCACACCTTGTGTCCAGAAGTAAACTGAAGCCTGTGGGGGTTGAGGAGACCAGGGCCCCTTCCAGGTTGAGAGGTGATAGGGTTTCTTCATTTCAGTCTGGTTTACACTAAAGTAAGAGGACTCGGGAAATTCCAGGACTATTCCCAACCAAGTCTTGCCTCTTATTATCATTGGATCATATCCAGCAATAATAGAAAACTTAGATTTACTCAAAGCCCAACAAAACAAGGAAGTTTAGAGAAGAAACAGCAAGCCCAGAGCTAACAATCTGTGGACATCATAAAAAGATGACTACCTTTTGATGAAAAAAGAATGACTTTTCTAGACAACCCACAAAAATATTTAGTCACAGAATCATACTGTTTTTCCAAGAGTGTGTGTGTTAACTGTGTCTGACTCTTTGTGACCTCACGGACTGTAGCCCGCCAGGCTCCTCTGTCAATGGGATTTTTCAGGCAAGAATACTGGATTGTGTAGCCATTCCCTTCTCCAGGGGATCTTTCCCAACCGGGGATCGAACCCCATGTCTCCTGCATTGCAAGCAGATTCTTTACCATCTGAGCCATCATTTTAAAGATTATTCTGCATCAATTTACTCCACTTAGGTTCTTTTTACCTACCTCACTCAGAGCAGTCATTTCAAAATCTATATAACTAATTCTGGAAAATGAACATCTGCTTTAGTTATGGTAATCATAGCTGTTGTAAAAAATAAAACCCAAGTCTTCAGTATTTTTTTTAATGTTTGGCAGTGCTGGGTCTCCATTATTGCACAAAAACTTTCTCTAGTTGAGGTGAGCAGCGACTACACTCTAGTTGCGATTCAGGGCTAGTTGTCATAGTGGCTCCTCTTGTTTCGGAGGATAGGCTCTAGGGTACAGGCTCAGTAGTTGTGGCTCATGGGCTTAGCTGCTCTGCGGTATGTGGAATGTTCCTGGACCAGAGATCGAACCCATGTCCCGTGCATTGGCAGGTGGATTCTTAACCGCTAGACCACCAGGGAAAGTGAAAGTGAAAGTGTTGCTGACTCACTGGTGTCCAATTCTTTGCGACCCCATGGACTGTAGCCCACCAGGTTCCTCTGTCCCTGGAACTCTCCAGGCAAGCATACTGGAGTGGGTTGCCATTTCCTACTCCAGGGGATCTTCCTGACCCAGGGATTGAACCTGGGTCTCCTACATCATAGGCAGATTCTTTACCATCTGAGCCACCATAGAAGCCTTACCCAGCATTTTAACATAGTATAAGTTTATTCCAACGTAGGTTTCCTGGACTGGGAGCAGGGGAGGTGGCTCCCCTCCACAGATGATTCAGAGATGCCAGCCTGTGGCTTCATTCTCTCCTAGGATCACAGAATCCTTTTTGTTCAGCCTGCAGATAGGGTAAGAGGAGAGTAGACAAGCCTCACTTAATTCTTTAAAAGCCTGTAAATGACACAGTTCACTTCCGCTCACATTCCATTAATAAGGATGAGTCGTTTGGCCATAAGAAGCGCTAGGGAACATAGTCCCTGACCAAGAAAGAATCCACATCCTGGCCATGACTCCAATCCAAGAAAGGGGGACACGAATTTTGGTGAGAATCTGGCTCTGCCATTAAACTATTGCACCTCATGGGTGAATCAAGCCTTTGCATCAAAATCCTCAATTTGGTCGATAGAGTAAGCTTATCATCTGAAATCACTGCAATAATATATTCAAAAACAATCTAAGCATACTTCCTCTTTTGTGGATTTATTAGGCTAGTTCTTATTATGCCTCTAGACTCTCTAGGACTTACATTACATCACTGTAACTGAGAGAACCCAGAGCTGTGGTTTCCCCTTCTCATGAAACTGTCCCAAATGACCCAGTCACCACCTTTGGAAGAGCTGAAGCCAGAAAAATAAAATTCTCTTTGTACTAATGATATCATTTTATTGTCCTAGATGGATAGTTTGCTGATTCTGGAAGATAAAATCTGCTTTAATTATGGTAATGCTAGCTGTTGTAACTAGTAGAACCCAAAGGGTAAGATTAAATGTTCCAAAACCCAAATTAGCATTTCTGATAAATGTTATCCAAAAATGAATTGGGTTAAACCTTAACAACTGTTGAGAGAAAAAATTATACACTGTAAGAGTTGTGAATTTTTTATTTGGGGCAAAATGAGGACTATAGCCCAGGAGATAGCATTTCAGATAGCTCTGAGAAACTACTGCAAAGAGGTTAGGGGAAGGTCAGTGTCTGTGTGATTTTGGTGAAGGGGGAGTACATACATTGACCATGTATTTTTGTAGAAGGTTACTATGAGTCACGAGAAGCAGTTGTCACCATGAAAGATTTTAGTGCTTTTCTAGATATGAAGAGATGTAAGAATTGGGCTCATAAAGCCTTCTTCTGAAAATATCTAAATCCTTGAAGGCCTGTTCTGCCAGTTTTTTTCCCCAGAGCTCGGGGTGTCTCATTCCTGATCTCCACCCTGAACTCCTTTCAGGGGGTTAAGTCAGCAATCTCAGCAGTTTGGACTGAATCTTTGTAGAGATAGATGACAAGGGCCAACCTATAGTTTTGTACAACCCATATAGCAAATCAGCTGACTTTGTTACCTAGAGAACATTTCAAAACTAGCTTGACTGAAAGGATTTCTTATGGAATTACATTGCTTAAAACTAGATACTTTATCATTGTTTTATTGAGAAACCTTATGGCTGTGTCTGAGTTTGATAACATCTGCATTAAATGTTTCAAGGCAAAACTAACCGAGCCAAAGAACTTGGGCTTCAACTGCCCATTTATGTGTCTGCTTGAACTCAGAATCACTTTCTAAGAAAAAAAATCTTAGTCTGCCTTACAGGCATCTTCTAATCCTAAAATCATAATGCAGAAGGGAGTGATCTTCCATTAAGTCATCTAAATCTGTTCAACTGTTTAATTTTCCTAAATGGACACAACTTTAGGCCAGCTTGTCTGACCATTAAAGCATAGCGGTCTATAGTTATAACAAGCATGATGATGACAAGCAGCATTAATTATTTATCATGTTCTGAGCAAAATTCTGAGCACTTTCTATGTGCTATCTCATCTAAACTTTACCACACCTCTATGTGATAGGTAATATTTCTATCCCCACTTTACAGAGAAAACTAAGGCATCAAGAAGATAACTAATTGCCTAGAGCATGTGTGAAGATAAGTAACCTGCCCAGGGGGTGTGCCATGCTCCTGGAGTCCACTGCTGTGGACCCTGCTGAATTCATTTTA